AGAGAGAGAGAGAGAGAGAGAGAGAGAGAGAGAGAGAGAGAGAGAGAGAGAGAGGAGCAATACAAGATTGGTTGTGCGGTCCAAGGAAGGAGGTGGTGGCCATAGCTGCCGAGCTCGGACACGAAGTGAACGAGGACGGAGAAAGACTGAGTGGAGGACGGAGAGACGAAGAGGAGAGAGAAGACATAGCCGGGGTGAAAGAGAAAAGAAGAGGGAAAAAAGAAAAAGGAAGGTGTAGGTTGGAGGGAGAAAGGTGTCGGCAGCCATAGCCGAGTTGGATGTTGACTAAGGCGTTGACCAGCGTTGATCAAGGTGTTGATCGGGCAGTTGACCAGCGTTGACTAGCGTTGACCAGAGCTGTTGACCACAAATTTGACCAAGTTCGAGTTGGTATATTCTCGCCAAGCCTTTAACCTATCCCCTCTCCCTATGGATGTGCACTCACCCCATGGTACTTGCTGAGTCTGTCTGTCTCTTCTTTCTGCATTGAGTCTCTTCTGTCCAGGTGATAGGAACTCTGTGTATGAGGTCATAGAGCTTTGTTGACCAAACCCACACGGGCTGAGTAGGGCTAAAGGTTGTGTTTGACGACTGACTGACCTGGAAGACAAACCCTCCCAAGGACCGGTACTGACCGGCGGGCTGCTCAGTGTGGCATGGTAGGCCCAAAATTTGAGTTGTGGGCTGCACAACAAGTTGTCTAAGTCTTGAGTGGACTTGCTGATCGCGTTGTCCTGTCTGCGATGTTAAATAATTCATGAGGAGTTACGGGGGATCTCCTTAAATGCCTCCTGATCAGCATTGAGTCTTGTAGTGACAATTGTAGTAATAGGTCCTGGCTAGAGACCATAGTTGACAGGGTCCTACCCGGATCCTGTAGTCCTTAGAGAGCCAGTCAGGGAGTCAGTGGGTAGGTCTAAGTGGTGAGGAGTGGGACAGTCATTGTCGTGCACCCAACACCATGGATGATTACCCTATGTACAGCTTGCTCGTGGGGTTCTCCCTCTAGGGGACCCTTTGGCGTCTCCTCTTTCCCTTGGGGTTCTGGAACACCTTTGCGTGTAGAGTAGAGACCAGGGGTGGTGTTAGCACCACGCCCTACACCAAGGAACAGGAGGAGGAGGCTGCGAGGATCTTGGCCGAGCAGAAGGCCAAAAAGGAGAAGGAGGTAGTGAAGCAGGCCAAGAAGTTGCCCTTTTTGCAGGAGCAAGCTGCAAAGAAGAAGAAGCTGGAGGAAGAGTTGGAAGACTGAAGGAGGAGGAAGAGAAGCTGAAAGCAGTGGAAGCAGAAAAAGAAGAAGAAAAAAAAAGGTGGAAGAAGAATTGCCCCTGATCAGAAAGAGTATCAGGGAAAGAGGGGAGTCAAGTGGCACGACGAAGGAGGACCCCTGGTTAGAGAAGAAGGTTCCTGAATGGGTTGCTAATCTGTCCCTGGGTGAAGAGGAGGAGACGATGTTGTATGTCCCTAGGGCAGAACAGGAGGCGATCGTTAAGGAGTTGGAAGCCGAAGAAGATCCCCTCAAGCGTCAGACGATAGAAGAGGAGAAGAAGTTAGAATGGAAGTTGCCTCTGAGTAGGGAAAAGAAGAAGAGAATGGAGGAGGCGAGTAAGGCGGCCAAGGAGTTAGAGGTGGTGAAGCAACAAAGGGCGCAGTTGGAGGCGCAGAAGGATTGGCAGGGAAAGATGGAGGTCATGGCGAGGAACATAGAACTCCTGGCAAGGGCTCACGAAGAGCAGTATCAGTTTTCGAGGGGCCAGGATGTAGCTTTACGGCCCATACAATTGGGGTTTAGAGAGTTCGCACAGGAAATGATGATGCATGTGGGCTCAGAGGTGAAGGCGAGGTTAGAAAGCACGGAGCGCTTTTGTACCGGCGGCATAGAAGGCGCAAAACTTGTTGCTCCAAGGGAGGAGGAAGTTTGTCCCCGTAGAGGGTCTGTGAAGGTGAAGTTTCCTGATTCCTACAACGGGAAGAAGGAGGAGAACTTCAATAATTGGGAGGCAAACATGAACTCCTATGTACACCTTCAAAAGATAGCTCATGAGGAACATGTCCTCACTGCCTTTCATGCCCTTAAAGACGAAGCAGCTAGCTTCACCAGGCCGCTTTCCCGTGCTGCTAAGTGCGAGAACGCTATGGTCACATATTCCCTGATCACCCCTTTGAGTGACTTTTTTAAGTTGCTGCGTGAGAGATTTGCAGATGTGACGCGAAGTGTTAGAGCTTCTGACAAATTGCAGACCATCCATTCCCACGAATGGAGTGCTAGAGCACTCAAGGGCGTCATGGATGAACTGGTCGTCGTCCCTGACCATGGGGTCACTGAAACCCAATTGGCCAACCCGTTTTATCGTGCCATGCCCGAACCTTTGCGTGGGCACTTCTTTGAGAAGATTAGAGAGTCTACCATGACCTACGATACTCTGAGTAGGGAAGTGGTAGCATTTGAAGTGCAGTCCATGCTAGTTTCCACTTTCTGGCATAAGGACCTAGACAAGGGCAAGAAGTGGAAAGGTTGTACCATCTCGGGTCAGGTTAAGGGCAAGGATCACCTGATCCTTACACTAGTCGAGGGTGGTATGGAGGAGGTCCCATATGATCAGATAGATTGGGGCACTAGTTAGGGAAGGACTTACGCTGCTGTCGCGGTTGGAGGGAGGCCGCAAGGAAGAGGAGGAGGTCGGGGCCAAGGGGGCCGGGCCTCCGGTGGTCGAGGACAGGGCGATCAGGGGGTTGGTGGCAGAGGAGGCCGTCAAGCGGGAGGTAGGGGTCAAGGTCCCCGCAAAACCGCTCTGGTTACAACCGATCACCTTCCAGGAGGGGTGGATGGCACCCTGGTCTGCCACAAGGCAGACCCTGGGAAGACCTGGGTCGAGAGCAAACAGTGTGGCAGCAGAGAATAAACCAGGATCAGTGTGTTTATTGCGGTGATCCTGGGCATATTATTAAATGCTGCCCTAAGTATAAGGAGGCCTGATTTGTTGCTCAGGCAGCAAAAGGCAACCGTCGATAGGGGTTGCAATTGCCCTTACACCTAGACCATGTGGAGAAGAGTGCGCGCACCACATAGAAACTCCCAAACCACATGTGTCTATGGCAGAGGTTGTTGGCTAGTGCCTAGATAGCTGTCCGGAGACTGCTTGTGTTAGAGTCTCTCTAGGCACTTCCCTCACAGGTCTGGCAAAGGAATTGAAAGAAAGGATGCCGGCCTGGGCCAAGATGAAGAAAGATAATAAAGGACAGCTACTTTTAGTAGATGTAGAGGTCTTTAGAGGTAGAGTAGGGGCCCTTATAGACAGTGCGGCCACCCGCAGCTACATTAGTAGGAAAGCGCTGCAGAAGCTGAAGTTAAATTTAAAACTCCAGAAGTTGGAAGACCCTGTAGTCAGTATCCTCGCACGACAATCGCACTATGCAAGTCGAGGATTACGTTGAGGGAGTCCACGCGTACTTACGCCTAGAGAAGGACGGGAAGGTAGAGAGAGTTCTCCATTCCCTAACTCTCCTCGTAGAAGACAACCTTCCATTTGACATAGTCCTAGGAATGGACTGGGGAGAGGCAGCAGGGGCCACGCTTCACTTGAGAGAGCATGAGTGTAGGCTCCCTAGTCCATCAGGGGAAGTTAAGATTGCTCGCATGTTCTACGTGTGAGGAGTAGACAACTCCTTGGCATATTGTTGTCTTAGTGCTCCCGCGTTTGCGCGATGAGTGAGGAAGGAGCAACTAGAAGAGCAGGTTTTTGTAGCCTATGTCAGGCCTGTTAGTGAGCCTAAGGAAGAGAAGCCTACGGAGCCAGTCATTGCCAAGATGCTGGAGGAGTATACGGACTGCAGGAGTCGTGTCGCGGCCCATCCAGCATCGTATTGAGATAGAGTCTGGCAGTAGAACTCCGAAGGGGACTGTATACAAAATGTCCCCAAGAAAGTTAAAGGAGTTACGTAAACAGTTAGACAAGATCCTCGAAAAGGGTTGGATTAGGCCCAGTTCGTCTCTGTTTGGAGCACCTGTTCTTTTGTCCCCAAGAAGGAAGGGGAGCTTAGAATGTGTATTGACTACAGGGGTCTCAATGTCGTCACAGTGAAGAATCCATAACCATTGCCCCGTATAGATGATCTGTTAGACCGGGTGCAGGGCTACTAAGATAGATTTAAAGTCAGACTATCATCAGATAGAGGTCCACCCTGATGATCAGTACAAGACGACATTCAAAACTAGATATGGGCACTATGAGTTTATAGTGATGCCCTTTGGACTTACTAACGCGCCAGCCATGTTCCAGCGCTGCATGAACGATCTGTTTAGGCCATGGTTAGATAGATTTGTAGTAGTATACTTAGATGATATTCTAGTTTTTAGTAAGACCCTCCAGGAGCATGAGGGCCATCTCAGGCAGGTCTTGGAGAAGCTAAGGGAAGCTAACTTTAAGATTAACGTGAAGAAGCGTGAGTGGGCCAAAACGCAAGTACTGTACTTGGGCCACGTCTTAGATGGAGATGGTATAACACCTGAGGACAGTAAGATAGCAGAGATCCGGGATTGGGCGATGCCTCGCACATTGGCAGAGTTGCGGTCGTTCCTAGGCTTAGTCAATGACTATAGAAAGTTTGTGAGGAACTTTTCCACCATGGCTGCACCCCTTCGCAAGTTGCTAAGGAAAGAAGTGATCTGGGAGTGGGATAGAGATTGTACGTCGGCCCTAAAGAAGCTAAAGCGGGCCTTGATAGAATAACCAGTCCTCAAGGTAGCCGATCCATCATTGCCTTTTGTTGTCACCACTGATGCAAGTCAGTACGGTATAGGTGTTGTGTTACAGCAAGATAATGGCAATGGCTATAGACCCGTAGAGTTCATGTCCGCTAGGATGCCTTCAGAGAAGGTGGCGACATCCACTTACGAGAGAGAACTCTACGCTCTCCGACAAGCATTAGATCACTGGAAGCACTACTTGCTTGGGAGGCACTTCAAAGTGTATTCAGACCACGAGATATTGAGGTGGCTAAAGACGCAGGCCAAGATGACACCTAAGCTTACTAGGTGGGCCGTTGAGATAGATCGATTTGACTTTTGGCTCAAGCCAGTGAAAGGGAAGTATAACGTAGTCGCAAACGCTCAGAGTAGGAGGGCTGATTACTTTGGAGCGATAATTCACTATCTGCATATAGGGAGAGACCTGCAACAAAAAGTTAAGGAAGCCTACGCGCAGGAATCTATTTATAGTGATCTCCTCAAAAGAGTTAAGGAGGCTCCAGAGACTGGACTAGATTACTGCACTACAGATGGCTTACTGTTCGAGAAGACTAACGTAGCTGATTGCTTATGCGTTCCCAATAGTGAAGAGATTCGTAGTTTGATCTTAGGGGAATGTCACGATACAGAGGGACATTTTGGTTGGCAGAAGACGTTAGCCAACCTTATTCGCGCGTATACGTGGCCTGGTATGAAGGCGGACTGCATAGAGTATGTGCGCAGTTGCAAAGTGTGTCAATGGAATAAGACCACTACGCGAGCCCCTCTTGGTCTTCTCAGCCCCTTGCCTATTCCCGACAGACCCGGAGACTCTGTATCCATTGACTTCATGGATGTTGGGGTCAAGAGTAGGCATGGCAAGAGCCAAGTCATGGTGATAGTTGATAGATTTAGTAAGTATGCAGTATTTGTTCCCTTGCCTTCTGAGGCACGTACAAATTTAGTAATACAGAAGTTTTTCGATCATTGGGTCAGTGAACATGGTCTGCCGTTGTCTATAGTTAGTGATAGAGATACCAGGTTCACTAGTCAGAACTGGCAGGAGTTGATGAGAGTGTACGGCTCTAGATTGCTGATGTCGTATGACCGTCATTCAGAGACTAACGGACAGACTGAGCAGATGAACAAAGTCTTGCAGCAGGTTCTAAGAATGTACATTAGACCCGACCAAATTACCTGGGATGAGGTGCTACCAAAGGTAGCTAGTGCCTATAATAACAGTATGCACTTAGCCACTTGTCGCACTCCCAATGAATTGCGTAAGTCCCTTAGACCTCGTAGACCGTTTGAAGAACTCAACCGGTATCAAATTCAGAGGCTACTAGGGAGTTCGCGATATAGCATGAAAAAGAGATTGCTACCGTAGTAGAGAACCTCAGGAAGGCCCAGCATAGAATGATAGAGCAAGCCGATAAGCATCGTCGCCCATCGCAGTTCCAAGTAGGGGACTTAGTCTGGGTTAAGTCAAAAGAGTTTGCTCCTGAGGAAAACATCTCACAGAAACTGTTACCTGCGTATAGAGGACCGTGGCCTGTCTTGGAAGTCAAGGGCGGAGAGGGTGGACCGTCCTACACCATAAAGATTCCAGCACACCTCCACACGTACCGAGTCTTTCATGTGTCAAAGTTGTTGCCTTGTACCGCAAGTCAACAGTTCCCGTCACGGAGGCCCATGATCCCTCCGGACATGGATGGAAGATATGACATTGACGGCATCGTAGGTGAAGATGTCTTCAGAACAGGAGGTAGAGGTCATCCACAGAAACAGTATAAGGTCAGGTTCGCTTTTCAGGAACCAGAGGACGACTGCTGGTTTACCCGAACAGAGCTTCTAGAGACCGCTCCCAAGATAGTCCGAGCCTACGAAAGAGATAAGAAAGGTAAAGGTCCTACATTGGACTGAAGTATTCTTGGAGACCTCGAATTTAGGCCGGCGGGAGTGAAAGGGTTTTTCACCTTTGCGGTAACAGATGCGGATCCCAGGGCTCAATCCCTAGACCTCACCTTACCCGTGTACAGTGTCAAGTCATCTCCTGTGTGTGTGTTTGAACCCGTGATCTGTGTTGTGGTAGTTGACTGTGAAGAGATTCTGTCCCTCCCCGCCAACCATAGTAACCCACACAGTCAATCCCCTGGATTCCGGGGTAATCAATGCTGGCGGGTCACATTTCCTACTATGTTTCATCTGCAATCTGTATATGGGACGCT